AAGGGCAAACCAAAAAATCCGCGATCTTTTAGTGTGCCAGTGTGCCACCCCATAATTTTTCTGAATTGATTACTTCCTCCCCTTTTTCTATCTCTAAAATGACTTCAGAAAATCAAGTACTTAACCCTGAAATGGTGACTTCTACAATAGAAACAGCTTTGAAAACCCCCTTAATTCATCCGATTAAATTTTCTGGTGTGGAAGACGTTCAAGATTTTATTGATTTTATTGATACAGCTTGTTCTATAAATTCTTGAAAACCCGACATTATTCCATTTTTGATCGAAAAATATCTGTCCTCTAAAGCGCTTTCTTATTTCAAATTGTTGAAAGCCAAGTTTTCAAAATTAACTTATGAAACCTTTAAGAATCATTTTCTCTCTCAATTTAAGGACGACGATCAGCAAAATAAGTTGGAAATCCATTTGCGAAATTTAAAGTTGTCGGATCCTAAGAAATTGATGGATCATATTTTTACAGTGAAAACCATTTGTTCCAAAATGATCCCGTGTCCCTCAGACACAAAAATTATTTTTTATGTTCTGTCTTCCTTACCTAGAGAAATTTCGCAAACTCTAACGTTATTACCCCATTCGACGATGGCTGAATTCGATTCCTCGGTAAAATCTTATATTTCTTGTGAATCTCTTTTAAACTTGTTAACCCCCCATTCAGAGCCACCCCCTCAAATTTTGCCTGTTCAAAATTCCCGAAACAAGAAATTTAAGCCAAAATCTAATAAGAAATTTTTCTCGAAGAATCCGGAAAATCTACCTTTTTCATCAACTAGCTCTACTGGTACTTGAATCAGCAATTTAGGAAAGGTACAACCTGCAGTGATTAAAGATGCCTAGATGTAAAAAAATGGAGTGTAGCCTTGACTTGCCGCAGATCTGACCAGAAGTGGAAACGGTGGACTACGTCGATGTATTCGTGCGGTGGGGTACGCTCTTGACGTGCGATGGGACATCCGTGTAGATATCACAGGAGAATCAAAAGAAGAAGACTGTTCCAACCATTTGTCGAATTAGAGGTAACGAAATACAGCTGATCACAGTCACGTGTATGTCACAAGATAAAAAAAAAAAAAAAATCATGAATTTAAAAAAAAAATTTGAAATTGACGATTGATTTAAAATGACCCGATGTCACGAATATGGTAAGGCGTAGCACTGTTGAAATGATGGTTCGATGTAAGCTAGAAAGTTACAGAACGGGTTGTCGGCACCATGTCGCGATTATGGATTTGTTCAGCTTTAGACGGACTGAAACATCTAAAAAATCCTAATCGTGGTGGTAGAGTTATATGTGGGAGAGCAGGAAAAATAGACGAAAGAGTTTTTGAGTGACGTATGATTCGCGTGTATTTTAGAAATGGAACCGTTACATAGAACTGACTATCGGGAGCACTGAGGTTGGCTGTGCTTGGTGGAGAAAACCGAAGTGAAGTTCTCTAAGTCCAGAAATTGGAGCTCAGCCTCGAAAGAGTTTTATCAATCAATCCATCTTGTGCCGCTGTGTAATAAAAAATATAATAAAGAAAGATGCGGGTGACTGATCACAGCAATGAGTAAGTGAAGCTTGCTCAATGCTTGGTTCTTCATAGAGAGAGACCGAAAATATGGGAGAAATGGAGATAGAGAACTCTATGAATAAATGCGTTGCGGTGTACGCGACACCCGCCCTTAGATATATTTTCATACCTTCTGGGCTATACGTGAAACATTAAAATTTCCGATTTAGCATCGGTTTGCATGCAGGAAATGAGCAGAGTATCAATGACCCTCAGATGCTCAAGCCGGGTCAAATTTACCTGGATTTGGAAGAAAAGTCAGAAAAAACACGAGGTCCGAGTAATTCTCTCCTAACTTCGGCTATGTTGCTCGCACAGCCTTTGAAACACTACTACAAATAAATCAAAAGGAACCAACACTACATGGAACTTGAGCAAGGAAAAGGACTCTCGTTGAGACGGCGCAGAGGTACAACTATTTGTACTTGATGGATGTCCGTGTTGCGCACGAAAAATTGAAGGCGCGATGGCGCGAGACGTGAACTCTCAATACTCGGCTCTACGCTGCCGATGTGGATGAAGTATAGCTCAGATTCGGGTGAAAAGTGAAGAAACGAATCCGTCTCTACTGTCTTTGGCTGTGTTGACACTTGATTTTTTTCTTTTTTTAAAATTTGCTGTCTGGTTCTTTTTTTGGGGTGGAAAATTTTTCAACGGAAGAAGTTATATGATAACAGACGATATAAGAAGTTAAGAGCTGGTTTTTTCTTTTCTCTTCAATCCGAAAGACATCTCATCCTTTTCGTCAGCATAGAGCGAGTCATCACGAGTTCGCACGCCTCGCGCCATCGCGCCTTCAATTTTGCGTACGCAACACGGCCATCCATCAAGTACGAATAGTTGTATCTCTGCGCCGTCTCGCGTGTCCTTTTCCTTGCTCTGTTTCCATGCTGTGTTTGTACGTACCGTTTGTCTTATTTGTAGTTGTGCCTTAAGGGCTACGGTGAAAATTTAAAAAAAAGTATTTCTCATCTATAAAATAGAAATAACATTGATAATCCTTCAAGAACGATCAAAATCAATGTTTTAAATACGGATCAATTTGACCCGACTTGAGACCTCGAAAAAAAAAAGTCCTCGGCATCAAAGGATTGAATGCAATAATTCAAGTCATTTTCTATGCGCTCATTTTATCAGTTAATACTGTTCAAAATAGCACTATCTCTTCTTTTGATTTCAGACATTATTTTACACTAAGAAATCACAACCTTATTTTTTATTTTTTTAAATCTGTATTTTAATTTTCTTTGGCACCCTAGGAAGGAATGAATACTGATATAACAAGAAATATGTACAAAATACTTACGTCACTACAATATTAACAACAAATTAAATACAAATTATGAAGCACAAAATATTTATAAAAGTGAAATAAAAGTTGGGATTTTCTCTTTACACTTGAACGGATAGACAGTTCAAACAGTGTGTAAGAATGATTATGAAGACGGATATTAGCTCATTTGTCACCAGGACGAAGCGATTTTGATTTCATTGAAAGAATGTCTATCCAAAAGACTTGAACCAAGAGGAACACTAGTTAAAATGTTCTTTTTAAATCCATTCCAAAGCTATACGTATGGAAAATTGACATCCCTTATTGCACCGCAGTTAGTACTTGTGCGCGCTCTATGCCCTCGAAACATTATACACTTGAATTTTTATTGAATAAAAAATTGAATCAGCAATTTCAGTTCAACCTCTAATATTACATCTGCGGAATCTTTCTTGGAAAAATCTTTTTTTGAAATTAGGATATTTAATCAAATGAAGTATGAGAAAATGAAAATAAAAAAAATCACGATAAATTAATGATGCATTTAGAGCTTTTGGTGGATTGGGATGAATTGGAACGGAGAAAAAATCCGCATTAATTTAACTTTACTGAGAAGTCGAACAAGTGAACCCGCAAGCTGCGCTAACTGAAATGTAATGGTAATCAATGACGGATTGGTCAAAGGTCGCAGATAGAGGGAAAATGGTACAGGTGTATGTGTAAAAGAAAGGTTCAACCATTTTTAGGGGAGCCTGCAGTCAAGCAACAGAATCCTCCAAAAGCTGCGTGGCCAAATTCTGGTCACTTCCTCTGACTCGAAAAACACGTAACTTCCCTCCAAAGTAACATGGAAGTCAAACACATGGGTATAATTTATGGTTCCTACGTCATAAGTAAAATGACAAAACGCAAAAAAATACATGAAATAGAAATAAAACAACAAATACAACAGCAATATGACAATAATCTTAGGGGGTTATTGCACTCATTGAACTTAGTAGTGTCATCAGCATATCATTATACCTAAGGGGTTCAAATGCATTTCAGTCTCCATTTGACTTACGATTTCCATGGACCTTAGTGTTTTTAGAAGGGTCGTTTACTCCATTTCCTCTTTGTAGCTTGGATCTCAGCGTTATCATGATGACAAATCGTAGCGCAACTATAATGTTCCGTCTGTTTAAATCCTTTACGTAATCAGTATGAAATAGAATGTAAGAGGCGAATTTAGCGTGGATTTCCAAATGGGTCCTTGAGTTACTAAATATTACTGCAGCGAGTTTAGCAGAGAAGGACGACGCCATACGTCAAGTTGGGACTACGGCGCAAAGGGGAGAGGCTCGAAATTTTAAACCTCCGAATGCCTCAATGTTATTACGTGCAGATACAATATAGCACCGCGTTTTTCATTGTAAACATTTTTTCTCAAATAGGTAGTCTTTACTGGAGAAGATTATGTAAGAATTTTTAGGTCCCTAACAACTTGTACATCATGTTCCCCTTCCCCTCCGCAAAAAATATGGTTTAGTTATTTTCTATTCAATTCGGTTCAATTATAGGCCGGGAGATGAATGGATTGGCTCATCAAAAATGTAGGTACTCCCTATTGGAGAATCCAACAAGTTGGCAACATGGTTTCCTTTTCAATTATTAAACCTGTGTGAATGAATCGATTCTTAAATGAATCCAGTGCCTCAACAACACGAAAAAAATGGATTGCTAATTTAACAATCGAATTGTTTAAAAATATGTCCCATGTGTTTCGAATGTACATTTTACAATACTGGAAAGCTTAAATTAACATTGTTTATTGTAAAATCTACATTAAAACATGCCTGTCACTTTTTTCAACTACGAACTTGTTAAATCAGCGATCCATTTTTTTCCGTGAAGAATCGATTCTCCAAAACAAGTTTAAATGGAAAAAAGTCACTATTGCCACCGTACTGAATCCGCCTCTCTCACTGGAAAAAAAATTCATTGGATCTAGAGTCTAGACTTTTAAAAACATCGGAAAGAAAAAATACTCTTGATTCAATCGGATTTTTGCTTCAATCAAGAACCAAGCCTCTTAATTTGAGCGGATTTCCTTTTGATGTAAGCAAAAGTCTGATTGGATCAAGAGTATTTTTTCTTGTCAATGTTTTCAAGAGTCTGGACTCTAGATCCGATGTGTTTTTTTTCCAGTGCTGGGAATGCCCAATGAGGGAATTATCGGTGGAATATCCGCTTGTCAGTAACTGAGTTGCGTTACAGTTGGCAGCCGTGGACGTAAGTGACGTTTCGGAAGAGGGAGGCTGCGGTGACGAGGAAGTTCCGGGCGGCTGCGGATGAGGAAGGGTCGTAAGGGGGGCAACAAGCCCCTAAATCCAAGGCTGGATGGGGAACGTCGAACTCCTTCTCGGAGGCACCCCCGACACTAGCTCCTCGCGCCCCTAGGGCCCCGTAACGCCGATTTTCCACCAACCGCAACTGGTTGTGCTCGACTAGTAGTTGCTTCTGTTCAGCCCGCAACTGGTTTTGACGCTTCCATTTCGTCCTGCGGAGCAAAAAACGAACAGAAACATGAAAAGACAATGAGGTAATTTTATGTTAAACTCAAAGGAACTTTTAACGCTGATGTTAAACATGACAATGGAGATGTTGCATGTGTGAGGAATTTGCGATTTGACTATTGATTCTCATGTAAAAGTTCGCGAGAAACACGATGGTGCCATTGCTTTTCTCTGAAATCAACTTCCAAGCTCAAAAAAAGCTCTCAAGATGAGGCCAAAATGGAGAGAATATCCCACGCTACCCTGAGAGTCCACGTCTACATCAAGGCAAACTCTCCATGCAAAGATAGGGATTACATTAGCAGTGATGCCGTGTTTTCAGTTTTAGAGTCCCCAAATAAAGTGGCTGCCCTTTTTTCATATTTTACTGAAATTTCCACTTTCATTTCTTTCTTACACGGAGAATAAAAACTTCGTTCGTGGAACCCGAAGTTTAGGTCATATGGATCTCTGAAGTTTTCGGATTGAGCATCCGAACACTTAAGGTCCAGCTGCTGAGGTTTGGATCACACATCTGAAACTTCAGTTCTTACATCTGAAGTACCTAGGTTTTCACATCCAAAAAACTTCGGTTCTCACGTCTAAAGTACTTCAAATGTAAGAACTGAAGTTTCAGATGTGTGATCCGAACCTCGAAAGCTAGACCTAAAGTGTTCAGATGCTCAATCCGAAAACTTCAGAAATCCATATGACCTAAACTTTGGGTCCCACGCACGAGGTTTTTTTCTCTGTGTGGGTAAGGCTAAGCTCCATCACAGGGCGAAAAGTCAAACATCAAAACAATACAAAGCATAAGCCATACAATAGGTGCAAATTTTAAGAATTCGGATTCCGAGAAAAGTAAGACGGAAAATGGTTGGAAAATAGTTCGGATCACACATCTGAAACTTCAGTTCTTACATTTGAAGTACTTTAGATGTGAGAACCGAAGTTTCTCGCACGGAGAAAAAAAACTCGTGCGTGGGACCCGAAGTTTAGGTCATATGGATCTCTGAAGTTTTCAGATTGAGCATCCGAACACTTTAGGTCTAGCTGCCGAGATTCGGATCACACATCTGAAACTTCAGTTCTTACATCTGAAGTACTTCGGTTCTCACATCCGAAGTACTTCGGTTCTCACATCCGCAGTACTTCGGTTCTCACATCCGAAGTACTTCGGTTCTCACATCTGAAGTACCGCAGATGTAAGAACTGAAGTTTCAGATGTATGATCCGAACCTCGGCAGCTAGACCTAAAGTGTTCAGATGCTCAATCTGAAAACTTCAGAGATCCATATGACCTAAACTTCGGGTCCCACGCACGAGGTTTTTTTCTCCGTGCGGATGTGAAAACCGAAGTACTTCAGATGTAAGAACTGAAGTTTCAGATGTGTGATCCGAACCTCGACAGCTAGATCTATAAAGTGTTCAAATGCTCAATCTGAAAACTTCAGAGATCTGACTGTATTCAGTGCATGTACTGACCTCCTGTTCTGGTACCACGTTTTGACCTGGGTCTCGGTGAGGTTGAGTGCCTCGGCCACGTCGCTCCGATCGGCGACGGACAGGTACTTCTGGATCTTGAACTTCTTCTCCAGGTATGACAACTGCGCATGCGTGAACGCCGTCCGCCTCCGCCGTGGTTTCCGACCCTTGTCCTCGCGCTCTCGTCTCTCAGGACTCCCCGTCGGGGGACCCACCTTCCCCTGGGCAAACTCCAGGAGGGGGTAGGCCCTCAGACCCCCCTTGTAGGGCATCTCGTTCAGCTTCATCCCCTCCTTCTCTTCTTCGTCCTCCTCCTCGCCGTAATCCTCATCTGACAGCTCTGCAACAACGGACAAACACCCAGTTAAGACAACGTCGAAAAAACACATTTGAACTAGAGTCCAGACTCTTGAATACATTGACAAGAAAAAATACTCTTGATTCAATCGGATTTTTGTTTGAATCAAAACGAAATCCGCTTAAATTAAGAGGCTTGGTTCTTGATTTAAGCAAAAATCCGATTGAATCAAGAGTATTTTTTCTTGTCAATGTTTTTAAGAGTCTGGACTCAAGATCCAATGTGTTTTTTTTTCCAGTGTGTGTATGAAGGTTTAACATCATGCTAAGAATCTATTCACGATTGAATGTGACATTAGGTATCTGATTGGTTAATTCATCGACTGATTAGAGCGAAGACAGCGACGATGGCTTCGTTAGGAAATTTCCTCCGGAAAATACAATAAAAAAATGAACGAGACCTTTTACCTGGCGCACATAAACTCGAAGCAACATTCGAACACCCGAGTGGGGCTTAGTATCACTCAAAATTGAAGGCGAACTTAACGCACTGACTCTCTAAGCCAATCCCTGGAACGGCTAAATCGATTGATTTCAAACTTCACCACTGTATATACGTAGGTATATACATTCTTACATTTTTACACAAAGGGCAGTGCAGGATTAAGGGAATCAATTTAAGAAGTCTATTTTCACACTGGAAAAAAGTCTCTTAGATCCAGAAGCCTGACTCTTGAAAAATTTGACAAGCAAAAATACTATTGATTCAATCGGATTTTTTCTTGAATCGAGAGCCAGGCCTCTTGTTCTAAGCGAATTTTCTTTTGATTCAGGGAAAAATCTGATTGACTCAAGAGTATTTTTTCTTGCCAAATTTAAGAGCATGGACTCGTGATCTAAGAGACTTTTTATTCAGTGCAGGGCCAAAACAAGACTTTATTATGACATCTTTCGAAAACCTATCATTTTTTGTCGTCAGGAAAATGAACCCTCATGTTTTAGTTTAAAGAGGAGGGAGAGACAAAAATTATGATTGTTTCAGTAATTCGTTTGGGTAACCAAAAATTGGATCACCCCAAAAAACGAGTTTCCTCTTTGACCCGAAACCCCGACACCGGATGTTAAATCATTCAGAAAAAATTGAGACTTTGGAATATACAGTCACCTACCAGCCAAATTATCACAAGCGCTAAGCGAAATTTTAATATTTCCGCCGCCATTTTATTTTTTTACAGAAAAATTGTTGGTTGAAACTGTTTGGAAACTTCACTGAATTTTATCGGCAGCACACAGAAAATTTAGTGACATTTTCGGACGGCTTCGTCGAACGATTTCTCTGTAAAAAAATAAAATGGCGGCGGGAATTCCGAAACGTCTCATGGCGCTTATGGTACCTTGGCCGAAAGGTGACGATATACCTCATGATTTCGCACGAGGATTATCTTCAAATTGTGCACCTTTCTATATCCAATCCGAGCTAAAAAAAAAAAAAAAAAAAAAAACGGACGCTCAAGTTAAAATGTCGATCGTTTGATTCGATCGCCGCACGAGGTACAATAATACAATGACAATATCTCTGGCGCCGCTTTGAGAGGAGATAACAGACAGTGGCGTGGCGTGAATTGCGATATATCGATTGACCTACCATTTAAACTTATGAAAAAAGATCGATTATTAGGGTGTTCGCAGCGAACATCTTAGTAATCGATTCTTTATCATAGCTTCAAATGGCGAGATATCGATAATCGATTATTCACGCCACGCCACTGAACAGAGTGACCGCGGACCCCGGTGCGGATTTCACGGTTCGTTAACGGGGTGAAAGGGCCGTAATGAATCCGTAACGGGGACACTTCGTACACTGTTGCACACTCACCCGAACTTAATCGAAAGAGAAGGGTAGAGAATCTTTCGTTTACCCTTATAATATGACCCTTCGCACGAGTGTGTGCTTTGGAGTTAAGCTCTTACTCGAATGTGTGATCGAATTTAAAATTTTCTGTCAATTGGACGGAGTTAAACAGAAAGGAACCAAGCCACGTCGGGAAACCGAGAAAAAGAGGTTTAAAGTTTGGTTTCTGCATAAGACTCAATGTAAACGATAAACTTCAAGTTCAATTTCTGCAAAATTTGCTCCAACAAAAACTTTGAATTTTTGGCGATAGATAGTAGAGCAGTGGTTGAGTTCAAAACCACTCATAATTCAATTTTTTCCAAAATGTGGGTTGGTTCCTTTCTGCTTAACTCAGATCTATTATGTTTCATGTTTAAATACATTCTAAAAATTGTTAAAATCCTGTCTTCGCGGAAGATTGCGAGGGAGAATCGGAAGTATTAATTTGAATAAAATAAAGGCATATTCTTATAAAATTGTATTACTTCACCTTAAGTGATTACTCAAATTGTAAATTTAATAGCAATGGTTTACACATTGCATGCGCACTTATTATTTAATTTATAAACCCATTTTGCGACGAGGAACCACTATTTCTGGCTCATTTTAGAAAAAAACATTAGTGCCATTGTTGCTTTCCCTACGCAGAAAGGTCCTTTTATGGAAGAGCCGGATAGAACCTTTAGCGGAAAGGAACCTTTGTTCCTTATTGCAAAATGTAATCCATTTATTATGGCTGAAAATCGGCCGACCGCGAGTTCGGACTTACGGTTTTGGAAAAAGGATGCACGCCGACATCATCCTGGCCGACCGTCCGGTCAAGTAGCTTCCAGAAACGGGAGACAATATTTGACTCCCTCCGCAAAATCTTCGCTCCTCCGGCGTAAGGACGTATCTCGATTTCCACACGAGTCCCAGAATGCATGGATTTACATGCAAAACAAGGCTCACGTGGGAATTGAGATACGCCCTTTCGTCGAAGGGTCGACGAGACGCGGAGAGGAAGGACCCGGGGCCGCGCAAACAGGAGTAAATAATAGCAACTTAAAGGGCCGGCCGCTCCATCAGGCGCCCTCTCGAGTCGCTGAAAAGATTTTCGACCATTAAAAATACCCCCGCGGACTCGGGCACAAGCGCGAACGTGCTCAAGTGACGATACCCACGGGCCGCCCGACCCTCGACGGCCCGCGGGGGAGGGGGGGGGGCTGTGGGAATCCACCCCCTTTCACCTCGTGATTAAACCATTCATCTGCCGTAATTGACTTGTTATCTGTGTTTTTAAAGAGACGCCCCTCTTAACGAGCGTGATTGCTCTATGATTTCGCGGCGGCGACCCCTTGTCCCCGAGCCGCCTAATCCACGCTCCAGCTAACCTGTATGACGCTTAGCGCCCGCTCCGCGCCCTCCGGCACCGCGCTCCCCCCACCCCCTCTCGCCTTTCGGAAAGCCACCTTGCGTCGCACTGAGAGGAATACCCGTACTGCCGTCCAATGCAAAAACGCCGTTAACTCCATTTTAAGGTTTTTCAATTTTTCCTGACAAAATGTTTCATTACAGGAAAAGTAACGAGCATTCATCCCCCAGAATGGAGATGTTGCATGTGTGAGGAATTTGCGATTTGACTGATGATTCTTGCGTAAAAGTTCGCGAGAAACACGATGGAGCCACTGGTTTTCCCTGAAATCAACTCCCAAGCTCAACAAAAGCTCTCAAAGTTGAGGCAAAAAGAGGGGGTATCCCACGCTATCCTGAGAGTCCACCTCTACATCAAGACAAACTCTCCATGCGAAGATATGGAGCAAAAACATTAGCAGTGATGCCACTTTATTTGGGGACTCTGAAATTGAAAACACGGCAACCCTGCTAATGTATTTGCTCCCTATTTTTGCATGGAGAGTTTGTCTTGATGTCCAGGTGGACTCTCAGGATAGCGTGGGATATCCCCTCCATTTTGGCCTCAACTTGAGAGCTTTTTTTGAGCTTGGGAGTTGATTTCAGAGAAATCCAGTGGCACCATCGTGTTTCTCGCGAACTTTTACGTAAGAATCAATAGTCAAATCGCAAATTCCTCACACATGCAACATCTGCATTATTGAATACCTTTGGCATACTACTGAGAACTCAAACTAAGAAAATTGAGCAGAATGGATATTAGTGTTTTTCGCAAGAGAACAGAATGTGTGAAAGGGAATTGTAAAATCTTTAATGGAGTCACGGCGTTTTTGCAGTGGGCGGCAGCCCCTGAATATCTAGAAAGAAATGAATACTGATCAAGAATACGCACTAAACGTGCCGGTATGTTTTTTTTTCAAGATTTAAGGCCGGGTAGTGATAAGTCGGTGCTCTCATCCGTCCTGATTAAGTAACTTTTTTTCGGATTTTGAAAAAAATTGATATTTAAGGGTCTCACTAGGACCCCCCTTTTGTCACATTTCAGTATTGATTCTCCTCCCCCTCAGCCTTTCAGAAAGCAGCCTTGCGTCGCACTAAGAGGAATATTCGCAGCCCAGAGCGGAAATGCCCTTGTAAATCTAGAAAGTAATGAATATGCTGATCAAGAATATGGACTAAACGTATAGGTACGGTCCATAGGGTGGCTCGTTTGTGCATCTGTTTCGAAATTTAAGACCGCGCGGGCAGTGAAAAGTCGGCGCTGTCGACCGTCCTGATAAAGTAACTTTTTACACATTGTGAAAATATTGATATTTAAGGGTCCCACTTGGGTACCCTCCCTTTCGGTAAATTTCAGCATTGGTTCCCCTCCCCCTCCCCTCTCGCCTTTCGGAAAGCCACCTTGCGTCGCACTAAGAGAGCGAAAATACCCTTGTAAATCTAGAAAGAAATGAATGATGATCAAGAATAAGCACTAGACGGACCGTGAACATAGGTACGGTGAATAGGGTGGCTCGTTTTTGCATCTGTTTCGAAATTTAAGACCGGATGGTGAAAAGTCGGTGCTCTCAACCGTCCTGATAAAATAACTTTATTTGGATTTTGAAAAGATTAATATTTGAGGGTCCCACTAGGGTAACTCTCCTTCGGTAAATTTCAGCATTGATTCCCCTCCCCCTCTCCCTATTAAAAACTTCCCATAGGGATCGCTCTTCAGAAAGTAGCCTTGCGCCTCACCAAGAGGAATATCCGTAGCGCAGAGCGAAAATGACAAAGTATAACTTTTTCCGGATTTTGAAAATATTGATATTTAAGGGTCCCGCTCAATGCTCCCACTAATACCGTAATTCGGAACTTGTGAGATTTTCCTGAATTTTTCCCGGAACTTTTGAAATTCTTTCTTTTTGAAAATTTCTTTTTGACCCATTATGGAAAATTTTGAGTAATAGTTCAGCCAAAGCAACTTGAGAGCAGCCGCTGAAGACTCTTTTGGATCCATTTTTATGTAAATAGGTGAAACACGTGTGGGCCCCATCAAAGTATTTTTCCTCATAAAAACGAACAAAGTCAGTCATCACCTATCCATAGAGCGTTGATTTTTCGTTGCACTATTTTAACACACGGAAAATTTGCAACTATACTGCACTTTTACGTAATAGAAGAATCTGCCGTAGGGAAACCAATACTAAAATGTACCAAAAGGAGGATACTCTAGTGGGACCCTTAAAAATCAATATTTTCAAAATCCGAAAAAAGTTACTTTGTCAGGACGGTTGAGAGCATCGACTTTTCACGATCCAGTCTTAAATTTCGAAAAATATGCAAAAATGAGTTACCCTATAATGGTCGATTATTGGTCACTATACATTTTATTTTTTATTTGATATTCTGAGAGCTCACGGTAAGTAGAAAAAGGCAATGATTTACTACGTATTTTTGCTCGAAAATCCCAGTGAAACCGCTTTAGAAAAGTCCAAAAACTCCGAGGGATTGAAAATGCGTCCAAACGACGGAAAAATGATGATGACAATAAAGGACTAGGAACGGTGGTCAAATTGCTATCTTCTTTCATGATGATTTTTCATGATGATTTATCTGATTCCATTGACGTTCTATTGATTTATATGGTTAAATAATTTTAAAAAATAGAATATATTTTTATGCTTCAAAGAGCAGCTAGTTTTTTTAAACTTACAATGAGCAAATATCTGAACCATACAGAGGCGATCCCTGGTAAAAATTGGCGATAGGAGCTGCATTTCAAAATACCATAGGAGTTCTTATAGCCGACTGAAGAAGGCGGTAGAAAATCATATAGCTGGCTGTAGAAAGTGGAAAAAATCATACGGCCGGGCTACACGAAGCGATAAAAAATTAAACAGCCGGGCTATAGTTTCTGTCGCCGGGCTTTACACTTTATCGCCTGGCTGTTGCTTTTTCGCCATCGGCTATAAAAGGCTGTAAGAAATTGTGTAGAAATTCGTGTGCTTTTCAAATCCGCAAGTTTGTACGGAATCACCATAATATTTACAAAACGCACATTATATTTTCCTTTACTGCATACTTGTTTTCATCACATAAAATGAGAATAATCCATACAGAGTGTGAAAACATTTCAAAGTCATGAGTTGAACAACCCTGACTCCACGAGATTAAATATCAGAGCCTAACACAAAGCGGAGCGGCGGCGCACTGGCGCCTACAAACCTAACAGGGATACTTCACGCACTGCGCAATGCGTGAAGTATCCCTGTTAGGTTTGTAGGAGCCAATGCGCTTTTCGCGCTGGCTGCCCGCCCGCCGCGCTTCGCCGCAGCGTACCACGGTGCTTGAAGCGGCTATTTCTCACCAGAGGTATTGCACAGTATCGTACGAAATTGAAGGCGCTCCAACATATTAGGAATAGCAGGCATCCTTCAAAAGTACGGAGCTTCCCTCACAAAATAAATCAAGATACTACGGCCCAAGAAGAGAGCAAAAACTCACTAAGTCCTAGCATCCGTAATTAGTAACGGATAGCATACACTTTATCGTCAGGCTGCTGCTTAATCGCCATCGGCTATAAAAGGCTATAAGAAATTGTGTTGCCGGCTATAGAAGCTATTGGGAATCTTACAGTCGGCTGTTGATCTATGGTATTTTGGAACACAAATTCTACTGCCAATTTTTACCAGGGATTTCACCGCCTCTCGCTTTCATACCTCTTGTTACCCGCTTTTTAAATTGTTTTTTATTGTACCACCGGGTTTCGAACTCGGGACCTATATTGGTCTACAGCCAAGCGCGCTGATCATTCATCTTTAGGTGTGCGAAAAGACTTTAGTGATCGTCAATTCGATGTTGCTACATTTTCATATGGTCTGTTTTGGTTATTGCCTTGGATTCACTTGTCAGGGCGATCAGATTTTCCGGCAAAGAAGACATGTTAAGCTGTTTCACTAACCGGTTACAGAGCTCTGAAATTCTCGAAGCTTTTAATAAATCTCTGAGGATCGTTAATAGTTTGTTATCTTTATAAAAGTGAGGTCCTTAATACTAAAGCACATCACTAAGTCTTAGTCTTTTTCATTCATTAAGGTCCTGTTTCTTAAATGAGTTACGATTCAAGTGCACTGAATCTCTGAATGTAAGATTAATCTTGCTATTTTCTTTTTGCCGATAAAAGTTATGTCACAAATAGTTATAGTGCCTTAAATTAGTTTTCGCTTCAGTCCAAAAACCACAAAACGCATGCTTTCTTTCTCCTTGAGTGAGTTGAATGCTGTCAAGATAACGTGACTCACATAATAGGAGCGAATCTCTTGGCATGCAACTATTGCGACACGTAGGATACGTTTTGCCTAAACGATCAATTGAAGGCGAAACACTTTTTCTCGGCTAAAAGTGATGTTTATTTTTAAAGGGACCACTAAACGAACACTAATTCTATGTATCAAAATAACCACATCCAATCACATGAGGACCTCATAATTCAGCACAAGTTTAAAAACCATTAGTGAGTATATACAATGAATCTTGTATCGATTTCTTACCGTCATTGCTGGGAAGAACATCACTGAGCAGGTCTTTGATCATGAATGATGACTTCGGGCTCTGTTGCATAGTGCAAGCGGCACTGAGTCAGCAACGATTATATTTATTTGAATTCACCGGTAGCTCAGGTTCTGATTTCTAGTTGTCATTGTTCCATTATCATCCGCACCGTATCATTTATTTTTGAAAAATGTTCTCAATTTTGTACGAAATCCAGAGGTGAGTTAATCACAGTTTATGACACTCATATTTCTCTCTGAGAGAAACGCCAAAGAAGTTCTTGCCTTTCACGCAAAAAATCAGTCTGGGTTTCTCAATTTAGCATTCACTTTCACTTTTACACACACAGATTTTTCCGTCTTTCCAAAAGGATATACTTTACATTGGTTTGGCAGTGTGAGGTGTTAAGGATCACTGAAAAATAGTAGTTAGATAGAATTCATTGAAGGAGAGCTGATTGCACAGACATGTTTATAAAATAAACATCTACCATTGAAAAGAGGTGATAGCAAACACGTCATTTCTGAAATGAGATGGGAAAGTTTTGTTTTTTTTATGCTCCAACTCCTCACAGTTCAAGTGCAGACACCTGAGCCGGTAGGTATAAAACTGTCTCATGTTGTATCACACAGAGAGAGAACTCAGCACAAACGTTTGGTTAATACGAAAAATAACACTGAAAAAAAATTCTCGGCGTTTTTACCACGGTCCGTTGGTACCTTTACCATCTTACTTTTTTTTTACCAATTATTGGTAATTTTACCAAGACAGATTGGTAAGCTTACCTAAAAACCGGTATTTTTACTGTTTTTTTTTCAGGTAAAAATACCACTTTTATTGGTAATCAATTCCCGGTAACTTTGCCATTTTGTCTCGGTAATTCTACCACAGTCGATAAAAAATAATGGCGTTTTTACCAAGGTCCAGTAAAATTAACGAGAAAGTTCAATAATTTTACCGAGGTTTCTCGGTAAAATTACCAATTCCATAAATGGTAATTTTACCGAGAGAAAACTTGGACCAAATAGAACCCTGAATTCTTGGCAATTTTACCCTTTTCTTAGTAAATACACAGAGATTTTTTTTTCAGTGAAAACATAAAATAACCCAAGCCTTCGGTTGACTCTTGGGGTTTCAGTCTCTCCGTTGTTTTTTGCGTTACATTTTCCGCAAACTGCTAAAATCAACACAAAATTTGAGCGGGTTTGTGTTTCACTTCCTAAATTAACAAAAGTAACACAAGGCTACAAATATTTAGCAATGTAAGTGTATTTCCTACTCTAACAGAGCTAGCTCACGTCACCGTCAAAACTTAACAGGTGAAGCACTTTAATCTGCTCAGTAAAATTATTGTTGATTGATTGGTGAAACAAAAGTAACATTCGTGTGATATTTAAGAAAAAAAAATCCCTCGAGAATATACTTGTATATCAATACAGGAAGATCTATTCAAAAATCGGCCACAGATTGATTTAATTCAGAATCGTGTAAAAACCATTGCGGTCTTTACTCGAAAAATTCTACCTCTGAACGGAAAATCGCATTATGACTGTAAACATCAGATTCGGATAGATTCATTGGACTGAGAATTGGTCAGCAAGCCCGAAATTTGCTTCCGGTCTCCCGGTGCTCTTTTCAAATCGTCAACTAATGTATCTCTGGTTCAATTCTTGAGAGCTGCAGCAGTATTCTTCTCATCAAAGTGGCGCCAGGTACTCTAATTGGTATGTGGAGTCCCTATGCACTGCAGTTTGCAGGACAAGCCGTGATTTTTTCACGATTCTGCATAGATACTTAAATAACTTTTTATTATGACAAACATGTTGCTGTATAGTTTAATGGCCTAACGTATGATATATTTATCACTGAAAAAAAGAATATAGTTGAGGCTCAGTCTCAAGGGTATGTATTCGCTAACACACTGCGGGATAGCAAATTTTGTAACTTTAACCGCATTCATCAAAAGTATTGTAAATGCTACCGGACGTCCAGTTATCCTAAACCTACAGTATGACTGTGCAAAAAGTTACATATACTCATGAAAAAATCTACCATATACTTCTAAAAAAATTCGGCATATTTTTTTCCAAAGTACTCAGATTTGTTACTTATTTATTTTTTCCAGAGGAAATAATACATGGCGGTTAGACGTTGACAGACTGTATCGTGTCTCAAATCAGAAACGGACGCTTGCTATCGATAATTACAACTCTGCCGTGCTAAGAAAAAACACCGTATGAACATCCGAGAGTTGCCAAATTTACTTCAATAAAATGTCCATTTTTGCGGAATGTTGTGCATATTTTTCCTTAAAATTTCCTGATGTTTTAGATTAAATTGTCAACAAAATTGCCTGAACAATTGGAGGAATATTCTTCAAAAATTTTCCTGTAAATTTTTGTTTTATTGAAGGCAATATGACAACGCCTGAAGGCTCATACGGCGTTCTTCCTAAGGACAGCAAAATTGCAGAAAATTTTTAGGAGAAAATTAACAGTAATTATCTGAGAATTCAAGACACCTTGTGAATAGAGATTGATAATTCTATATCCGCTAACTCAAAGCACGCGCGATTTGGAGGGTAAGTTCTAAAAAACACAATCGCGAACGTACGGAATCCGGCCTGGCGAGGCAAAGGAAAACACTTGGACACCGCGGAGCAAACGGCGATCATGAAGGGGCAACAAAACCAAGTAAGTTTCGCGATTCACTTAGCCGCAACCCGTCCCGGGAGCCCGCGAAAGCTCGAGCGGAAAATCACCCCTAAACCGTATGGTAATGCGCGGGCCGGGATTGGCCGAGAGAGCGCGGAGCCGGGCGCCGATTGGTCGGATGGCCGAGGGGTTGATTGCGGGGCGGGGCCCGGGAGCACCCCTCCCCGGCCGCGGATCGTTTTCGTGTACGTGTTTATAGAGCCTCATTCGCTCTCGGTTTAATTCCCGTCTCGCGGTATGCAGATTGTTTGTCGTTAAGCAATGCGGGTGGCCGCGGGCGCCAGGCGCCGGCCGGAGTTTATTACATCAGAGCGAGCGCACTTGGCGCGTCTCTCTCTACCCTGCCGCGCCGTCTGCCGAGCCGCAACCTCTTGTGGGCGCGGTTCGCCTCGCCACCACCGTTGTCGGAGTTTTCTCGAAGGTTCCCTGCGTGGGAAAAGAAAATCACTCGGAAAAACAAAAATAGTAACAATATGGAAAAAATTAAACTACTGATTTAATAATTCAATCGCTAAAAAAAGTGACTGCAAGGTCTCAACGTAGATTTTACAACAAAAAAATGCTACTTTACTTAAAATACTTCATATCTTCTCCAATAATTGTTCATTCTAGGAACTAAAGGTATCCTCCTGTTCACTTCACTCAGTTGTATCCACTTAAACACGAAATTCAGCAAATTTCAGACACCTGTAAATTCTCTATTCGCGGGAAAAATTGGATTGCTGATTTAACGATTCAATTGCATAAAAAAGTGACTGCAATGTTTCAACGTAGATTTTACGCCAAAAAAATGCTACTTTAACCACTATTGTGAGGTAATTTAACCACGGGGGTGGTTAAAGTAGCATTTTTGTGTTGTGAAATCTACATTGAAATATTGCAGTCACTATTTTTAGCAATTGAATTGTTAAATCAGCGACTAAATTTTTTCCGTGAATAGAGATTTTGCAGGTGTCTGAAATTTGCTGCACCGAAAAAAAAGTGAAGTTGATTTAACATTCAAGATGTAAAAAAAATGTGCGAGAACTTTAAAAATGCCGAATTAGTCTCCGCAGCAGTTACTTAATATATCTTGGCATTGCTAAAATAACTGTTGTAGCGGGTAATTCAGCATTTTATAAGTTCTCGCACACTTTTTTCACATCTAGAATGTTTAATCAACTTCACTTTATTTTCGGTGTGAATTTCGTGTTTAAGTGGGTACAACTGAGTGAAGTGAACAGGAGGATACCTTTAGTTCGTGGAATGAACAATTATTGGAGAAGATATGAAGTATCGTCCATAGATAGTAATTTTGACCATAGTTTTTTCTCAGTAAATAGATGAGGGGTAATGAACTCCCAGACAAGGTGAGAATGAGATAAATAAAAGACATTCCATCTCATTCGGTAATGACTGGTGAATTTAAGGTAATTCGTCAAACTCTCTGACGTGGTCGAACCGGCATGCGATATATCGCATCAACTAGGCCAAAAATCTCTGCAGATGTGCATAATTCACACAGTTCAATACGTGTATCGATTTCTGTACCGAATGCGAAGTTTTTTTCGAGACAGGATCCAGCTTTCAATTCTTTGAATTTTGCAATTTTTTTTTTTTTTGTTTAAAATGATTCTTTAAACTCACGCGCAGGGGCTATTGTCCTTTAACCATACGACCTAATAATTCAAAATCAGCCGAGTTTTTTTTACTTGATCGATGCGATATATCGTACGTCAGAGAACTTGACGAATATCACCATAAATAAAAGCGTTGCTGACTCTCAGTGTCGCGTGATGAAACAGAGCCAGTCACCATTTCTGCAGAAGATCTGCTGAATGATGTTTTTCCCAGCAATGACGGTAAGAAATCGATGACAAATTCAGTGTAAGTAGGCTAAATGAGTCGGTCCTTATTTGCTCGGACACAGTTATTTCGATGCCAAGGATCAGTTTTCTTTTAATAGTCTTAGAAAAGTAAACAATGCTCTAAGCCGTGAAGAAGTGGTTCGCCTTCATTTGATCGTATAGGCAAAACGAATCCTACGTGTCGCAATTGTTGCATCCTTAAATATTCGCTATTATCGCTTGCAACGGTTTGGGTGACTGTAAATGAGCTCCCTTATTATTATAATCAGGCACTCTACGGATGTAAGGTTGACTCCAGCCATTCAATTTGGTTCGAGATTTTTCCTGAAGCTTGCGTTTGGGTAGAATGAAAATCAGTGAAATTTTAAGTAAAAAAAAAGCGCATCAGTTTTCTCATAAAAACACAATTGACGAGTGAGAATTTAGTAGTTGTCGAAATGATTTTAAGCTCTGCTGTCTGCAAAAATCCGAGAAGTAATACATACTATGTAAAAACGAAACGGACGAGTGAGGGGTGTGTCTTGATTATTGCTGAAGATGAGTTATATGCTTGAAACCTGTCCAAAGTAAACAATTCTTTTGAAAATAATTTTAACGTGCATGTGAGTCGTAAATTAGTTAACTAGAAAAATACGGAACGTATTTTCCATATGCGGCAAACACGTGACGTATTTTTCCATTTTTCATTTAATTTGAATCTTCACTAAATACGGATTACCTGAGTTTTTTTGTGTTTTCCAGTAATAAAGCAAAAAAGAAAACAAATGTGCAACAGATCAGTTGAGATTTCGAGTTTTCCGCGAGTGAATATTTGGTGATAATGGTGGGATTTTTTCTATCCTCTGCTGTGGGCTGGGAGTAACTTTCTGTGTTTTATTGAGACATTAAAAAGTAAGGACAAAGATCGACTTCGCTCGAAGTTAGAGACCCTGAGAGGAGCGTAAAACGACAAAGAGAGATAATGGAAAACGCAGACGTAACAACTCAAAGAGTTGGTAAGTGAGCTCTCGGAAAAATCCTTTTTGCGTCCAAGTAATCGTGAGTCAAATGTTGCGGCTTCCGCGGAAGAGGCGGAGAAGGGGGGTCGAATTTGATGAGGTTGGAGGGGTGGAGGGGCGTGGAAAACTGAGGAGACATCGTGAAGTTTAAATGACGTCATTAAAATAGCGCCGTGGGGAGCCTGCTTTTGCGGGGGAGCTAATATCAACCGATTTATTCGAACGGAAAACCTCGGGGTACTCTTACTTTTTCACCATGAGATGGCATGTTGACGGATTGCTGTGTAAATTTGACTTCATTTATTCATGTTTATTTTTCCATTCCACATTTTAACTTTTTCTAAGTTTAATTTTTTCAGGTAAAGCTCGGTTTAAGTTCCTCAGTCTAAAAGGAGATATGCATGGAAAAAAAATTGCATGTATAAGTTTAAGCAAGCGTTTTGAGTTTCCAAATTGTCTTTTTTCCCGTCCAATTTCCAAAAAATTTGTGCCTTTCCCGTTAGTAATAACTGTCAGAGAGGCCTCTTCTCTATAATATTTGGGGAAACCTGTGACCAGGGGCCCAGGTTTTTTAATCCTACGCAGTAAGATTGTGAACCATCTCTTTTTAAAAATGTCAATTTCCAATTTCTGTAATAATAATTTCTTTCAAAAAATCTTATGGGTGGATCCCCCTGAGTTTTGCAATCAGCTTGCTATCGTAAAATTTTTGGAATGTGATCCGGCGATCGGATTTTTAGGGATGCAAAACGGATTTTTTGGGGGTTGTGAATGAAAAAGGTGCGATGAAACTTCTGACTTTGTCATTGGGCACAATTGTCATCCTAATTGTACATCCACGACAGTTAATTTTTTGCACCGGATAACCTATAAAACGGACACGCACGGCGAAACGGTAAAAATGGGGAAGTTAAAAGCCTCGCAGGAATCATATATGCGCGCAATAATTTCTGCGAAGCTGATTCAAAGCATTCGTCACACCAGATTAATTACAGGGATGCTGACCTAATGCCGCCAAAAGAGACAGTGAGTTATTCGTAACATACGAAATGTATTGTAGCAACCTATGAGTCGTAATGGGAAAAAATGTCCAAAATACGTGGAATATGGAATCAAGTAGGTGAAATGGAGAATGAAGTTTCCTTACATGCAATCTGACCTAAACTTTGATAAGTAAATAAGGATTTTCTCTGGCTCCCGATGATTTTAACGCAGGTGTATGTAATGGTAATCAAGAGAAAATAAAGAAAATAGACTCATTACATAAAAACTCGTTGTGCTGAACAGACTAACAGAAAGCATACGTCATCAATTACTTAAAATGCAGTTGTAGCTAAGATAATATTGAAAGAAAAACAAGATGATTAAATCACGAGAAAACCGTCGACGGGGGTAAACTAAAAAATGTACTTTACTAGGTTTGTTAGATTATAATCCATAAAAGACAGTTTTTGCATGGAATTTCTATTAGTCAGTTCAGTCCCTTATTTTTTGAGAATCTAATTTTTTTTCAATGATACATATTTCCACCTCTACTTCATTCCGATGGTGCCAAGTATACACTCATGAACAAAAATGTGGATTTGTCTCCTTTTTGTTTCTCGCTGACCTTAAGGCTCGCTTTACTTTCACGATACTTTCGCATGCAGCTATTTTTTTTCTCAGTTTCTCTCAATAATTCGTTGATTTTAAATGTGCCATCCTCGGAAAATTGCTCCGGTCATATGTCTCCGGACTCGATGGACTTTGGTTTTTTGTTGTGAGAGGTCTGAACGATGAATGATAAAAAAAGGGCTTATTTTCATGTGCGTAAGTTGAGAATAGCCATTAGAAATATTTATCTCGTGGAATTGCAGAGGAACAGACACAAATTTTGTGAGACTTTTGTACCGAGTGCTTTTTTTGGGTTTTGCACTTCTGCAAGTGCGAGAGACGTCATGTCATCGGAAGCGGTTTTTCCGAACAGATGATTCGATGACATCTCATGGCCGGCTTTTCAGGGCCCGGGGCCGCACAGTGGATCGAGCCGATAGGAGAGGTCAGACAAAATTTGGAAACTTTAGAAGCTTATAACTCTGTTTATACGAAACTTTGAGGTTCTGAAAGTGGTTCCATTGTTTTCCAAGTGAAATTTTATATCAA